AACACTGTTGTTTTCAGTGGGAAGGTTTTATAACCTGGTCTACATGACATGGTATAGACTTTCTACTGGCCACCTATTCTTGACTCTTATTGAGAAACCAAACTGTCCTGAAATTGTCACATCCCTCCAGAAGAGGTTGATGCCAAGTCTGAGAGCTAGGAAGGCTGCCACTCAAAGTCTTTTTCCTAAAGTAAAACTAGACCCAGTGGGTTCCTTTGCATTATATAGTTCTGTCTCCCACATGCCAAAAGATGTCATAAATTTTAGGTGACAAGCTGCTGGTACGTAATAATTTAATTTCACCTCCATTTCTTGATTATTTTCCCCTATGTTGTCAGTATTTTGAGAAAACAAAATTTATATAAATCATTGAATACTGGGCTTTCCAGTAAAACTTCATGCGATGATAGAAATGTTCTATAATCTGCACCATTTACATGAGCTATTGCATACTTGATATACCTGACTGCAGAACTCAATTTTAGTTTATTAAAATTAAAAAAAATTATTTTAATTTAGGCAGCTGCACATGGCTAGCGTCCGCCATATTGGACAGTGTAGATTCTAAGAGCAATTTCTTTACGATACTTCAAGATAAATACCGGCAATATGGGAGGCTTCATAAAAACTCTTTTGTGACCATGGTTTTCTCTTCAGAAGATATGTAGTTCATAAATCAAAATAGCAGCAACTGCTATTGACATAGAACAAATAACAAATACAACAAAATACTGATTAACCTCCAGATATTTGAGCTCATTTTATGAAATAGGCACCATGCTAGGCACTGAAAAGTGTTCCATATGCCTGATGATGCTTTTGCTTTCTTTTTTTAAAAAAAATTAAAATGTTAATGTTTGAGAGAGTAAGAGCATGAGTGAGGGAGGGGCACAGAGAGAAGGAAGGGCAGAGAGGGGTTTGGGGGACAGAGGAGCCAAAGACGGCTCTGCTGAGAGAGCCTGATGTGGGGCTCGAACTCACAAACCACAAGATCATGACCTGAGCCAAAGTCCGATGCTTAACCGAGTGAGCTACCCAGGTGCCCCCATGCTTCTGCCTTCTAGGTACATGTCATTGTTATAGATGACAGAGGATTTTATGAATAGCTTTCATTGTAAAATACAACTTCATTTGTTCAACTTTCTCCAAGCACACTGGATAGAGATGTTTGGCAATATACAAACAGAGTCAAATACCAGCCCTGTTAGATGCCCTGAAGGGGGGAATGAATCTGTGTTGCATGGAACAAACTGTATCCTGGCATATTAATGGCTCTCAAAATAGATTTGATTTTTTTCCTAATCCAATGCTTACCAAATACAAACGTAGAACCCCATTCTCACCCACAAACTACCTGTTAATAATGATTGTGTGAAATATAAAATGTGTTTTCAGAATTGGAGATGTGTGCTGAGGAATTTTATAACCGTAGATAATCAAAAATGCTGGGTAGCCTAGGATCATTTTTTCTTTTTTCAAAGTGGTGTTTGCAGATCTTTAGGGGGCATGAGTATATTCTCAATGGCCCATAACTTCTCTGAGGAATTTTGAAATGACGTGATTTTAAATATATGATAACCTTCAAAATATGAATATAAGCATGCTTTGGTTTATGGTGATAAGCACATTTTAACAGAGTACTGCTACATGATTTCTCTTAATATTGGCTCATAACTGTTTTACCTTGATTTAAAAAAGAGAGAGATGGACATAAATGACCATTTGCTCCAAATAAAGGCCAAGTAATGGTGGGGTTCATTGTAAAAATACAGGTTTAATGAAAACAAGTCATGAGAGACTTGAGGCATCACGTCACATACAGTAGTAAAAGCATGTTTAGCTCAAAATAATCCATTCTGGATAGCTATTTACTGAAAATTTTCAATTTCAAGAAAACACCTTTCATGGTACTCTAACTTGAAGCTTACTTATTTTATGCTTTTGTTCACATTTATTTTACAAGTGTTTTGGTTTAATAGAGGTACATGAGCTTAAGCCTGAGAATTTTTTGTCCAGATTTATGTTTAGTACGTTGTAATTTTTATAGATTTAAGTAATATTAGGATAAAATAATTGAAGTCAAAACTAGGGGTACATAAAAATTATTTATGCATGGAAACACTGCTCTAGGATATTTCCATTACATTTCTGAATGCATCATATTGTGTTCTTATATATTTAGCCAATATTTAAAATTGGTTTGCGTTCCATGGTTATGCATCATCTGCTGAATTTGCTGTGAGGCCAGGGAAAGTCTGGAAATTATTAAAAACTCATCACGAATGATCATGAGATGACTGTATTTAATATCACTGCAGATAAAAATAGCTTTATTGAACTATTCAAATATGGCAATGTCAAAATTGGTGGGGTTTTTTTCCCCTCCTGATCTCTATTGTCTTAAAAAAAATTCCATACATAGCATACACATTATACAAAGCATGGTTTCAACTACCATTTATAACTCAGTGACTCCAGATCTTTATTTCCAGGCAATTTGCTCATTTGAATTCCAGATGCACATTTCTGGTGCTCTACTAGATATTTCTACCTAACTGTTCCACAAGGATTCCAAACTTAGTCAACCCTAAATTCGATTCTTGTATTCTGGTTCTAGATCAACGGTGTTACTTCCACTCAAACTCAAAAACTCTGAAGTCATCTTCCCCTTCTTTCTTTCCTTCAACCTCTCACCGGCCGTCAGCAAGTCTTGCCAATTCTCCTGCACCTCTGCCGTTGTCTTAGTTTAGGCTGGCACTCAGATGTTGCAACTGGCTGACAGCTGCAATAGCCACCTACCTAGATTCCCCGCCACCAGTTACCTTCATGCCAATCTAGCTTAAAATAGGAAGGACCTATCAGAGAGTTTTCGGTTGACTGCTTCTACCTTGTGTGAGCTGGCCTAGCTCCATTTACTGAGACTCTGTCTTACAAGGCTGTGAGGTTTCCTGAAGGCAAGGGCTGTGTCTCATTTGTCTCTGTGTCCCAGGGTTTAACAAAATTCCCAGCATGCAAGTGGTATGTGTTACATGTTGAATGTTGACAGTACTGGTGAGTGGCTAAGGACATGGGTTTTGGATGCAGATAGGTCTATGTTGAATTTCTGCCTCCTCTTCCACTTACTTAGCTGCCACTTACTTAGCTGCCAAGTGACCCTGGGCAAATGAACTCTTAAGACAGTGATTCTCAGTTCTGGTTGCACATTAGGAGCACACAGGGAATTTATCAAAATGGTTCAGGTCCCCTCTTCAGTTCAATTAAGTCGGAACATACAGAGGATGAGGCTCAGACACAGGAAATTTAATAGTTCCACGGTGATCCTAATATGTAGCCAGTATTGAGTATCATAGCTCTTGGCTTTAATTTCTCATCTACTATATAGTATTTATCTTAAAGGTGTTTTGAGCAGGTGATATGAAATGAAATTTATCACCATATCAGGCACATAATATGTGCTCAATCACAATATTAATACACAACCTCAATTTGTGACCTCTTCCTTCTCCATTGCTATCCTACCCCCAACCCCCTCTGGGACTCTGTCTTCCTTTCAATTCCTGGAATGTGCCGAGATTTTCCCACTTTAAGTAAGTATTTAAACTAAAATAAATGTCCTGTAGGCTAAAATTCTCCACAAGGATTTTCTTGATGGCAATTTCTAAGTGTTTGGGTTAGGGGAGGCATAAGCTGGATAAATAGAACTCACATTGCTTTGCAGAGAGCATTCATATCAGGACATCCTGAAATTGTTTCTAGGTGTTCTTCTCTTTTCCTTTTAAAATTCCTCATCCATTCATGTCATCTGCCCAGACCTTATTTTACTGGTAGTGTAAAAACCTATAGGAGAAACATTAAGAGCTACAGGAAGGTGTACCTTGGTGGCTCAATCGGTTAAGCATCTGACATTGACTCAGGTCATGATCTCATGGCTTGTGGGTTCCAGCCCCGCGTCAGGCTCTGCACTGACAGCTCAGAGCCTAGAGCCTGCTTGGGATTCTGTGTCTCCATCTCTCTCTGCCCCATTCCCTCTGGTGCTCTGTCTCCCCCTCTCTCAAAAATAAACATTAAAAAAAAAAAAAAAAAAAGAGAGGAAACATTAGAGAAAACAAGAAAGATTCTATTGCCTAGATGCATTTTGCTGCAGGTTTAACTTCGACTTTAATTTTCAGAACTAAATGTACCCATATAAAGGTTAGAAACCTAAAAATCCATCTTACTGTTAATCAGCTCAAAGGAAGAAAAAAAAGGAATTTCACTAACTGACACTTTCATGCAAAGCTCTTAAGTATTATGCCAGTCTCAAATTTCACCTAAAAGTTTCCTCAAGGCCACTGTAACCTCATCACATCCATATTACAACACAGCTTTTGACAAAGAGGGGTTTACAAGATTCTGTATTTTCTCTACTTTGCTATAAACCTCTAAAGATCTTCCTACAAAAACAACTGTCCCCAAACCGTGCTACCTGATCGAACCTGGGGAACGATTATCAATAAAAACCTTATAAAGTGCTGTGGCATGAAGATGAGAGAAACATCCATTATGTTTTTATGACTTTGGGGGGAAAGGAGAAGGCAAAAGCACAAAGACACTGAGAGTCACCGTCCTCGGCGGGAGAACCCGGCGGCCTGCGCTCCGGAGCCCTCAATTCCCCCTCGGAGCAGAGGGACACGCTGAGGGTCACGCCTCCCAGACAGTGTGCGTGTGTCAGTGCGCGATTCTCTCACACCGCCCACAGGGCCTGGAGACGCGTCACAACTCACGATTGCCCGAGAAGCAAACAACAGCTGACCTAGCCACCTCCTACCATCGAAACAGTCCACGCCTACTAGCAGCCTCAGATTTCGGGGAGACCGGAAGCCTTTTTGCCCCGTCTCGCGGGCTCACCGCCTAGAGCGGGTCGTAACCGGAAGTTCCTCTGCCCCGATCGTCGGAGCACCGCCCCGTCGACCGCACAGGCGCGGTGGAGCTCAGGCGGAGCGGTGGGAGGGGAGGAGGAAGCGCCGGAGAGGGGCGGGAGCAGGTCCCAGAAGATGGCGGAGGCGGGGGTGAGTTGGGGTCCCCTTGCGAAGCGCGGGGGACTTGATGCTGAAGGAAGGGGCCTGAAGAGGGAGGTGGCCTTCGGGAAGAGGAACTGCTTGTGTGTTTGCATCCTGGGGACGCTGCTGGCAGATGCAAGTAGCCAGGACCACAGATGGGGCCTGAAGGGCAAGGGGCTCCTCTTACCTGGAGAAGGGTCGGGGAGGTCCGGAAGGGGACAGAGGGGTCGGGCGGAGGTCATAGGAGCGGCCGAAACTCCCCGGACAGTGGAAGAGTGTCGGAGAGGCAAGAAGGCTGGAGGACGCCTGGAAGGGCGACCCTGCAGATCTGATGGGGGGTGGAGGTCGGCGAGCTGTCAAGCGTAGAGCTGTCAGGACTTGGGAAGCTTGTAGCCAGAGAGACTCAGCTGTGGGAGGGGGATGGATCCAAAAGGTAGATTTTTGTAGTAAGTTTAGAATCCGCAAGAAGATATGTGGATATTGAGTCGAGGAGTGGGACTTTGGCATTTTGGATTGGAATTGGACACCTTTGGAGTAGGTGTGTGGGTAAATCCAAAGAGAACTCTTGTCAGGACCTAGAAGTCGGTTGGTGATAGTTACTGGGATTTTAGGGTTGCTCAGTGGGGATTGGCTGTCTGGAAAAGGAGAGCGGTGTGGATGATAGGAGAGGAGGAGGGGGCTGGGGAGACGTGTGCTAATAAAACAAGTGACCATGACCCATGCCCTGTTAGTGTTGGAAAAAAGTTATTCAAGTACGGTGTAGCTCCGCAGTCTAGGAAAATACACCATGAAGAGCTTACTATTTTGTAGGATTGATGAGGCGATGCTTTAAGAAGGAATGGGTAGCCTGGACAGCTGCGCCATGGGAACTGGCCCAGATCAGTATTGCAGTGGAGCTGAGGATTGCAGGGGGAGGCATGCTCCAGACCTAGGTACAGGAAGAATGAAGGCAGCCAAGCAGGCAGTGGCTAGATTGTTTTCTGACTTTGGCGCTTGGCCCTGATTGCCAGCCACCGGGTGAAAATGAGTGAAGGGATGCCTAAATTATAGGATCTCCATAGAAACATACCAGTCAAGTACTCCTCCTGTTTCCCCCCTTTGATTCTTTCCGTGAACGTTAGGTTGACTTCTGTGACTTGTTATAGTTCTCAGTCCATATCTGATACAAAGTGACCAGGCAGTGAATCCTGTAATTTGGGAAAGGGGTTGATTTCTTTTTAAACTGACAACTGTTACTTTTATGTATGATCAGGCCAGTAAAGGAAAGGATAAGATGTAGTTCAGTAATTTGGAGACCAGTTGTTTTCATTGTTATCAGAAAATTATTCCCAAATGATAACGTAAACTTTTCAGTGACTGAGATTTGACTTTTTTTTTTTTTAATTTATTTCTAGGAGAGAGACAGAGACAGCGTGAGCAGGGGAGGGTCAGAGAGAGAGGGAGACACAGACTCTGAAACAGGCTCCAGGCTCTGAGCTGGCAGTCAGCACAGAGCCCGACGCGGGGCTCGAACCCACGAACCACGAGATCATGACCTAAGTGAAAGTCGGACGCTCAACCGACTAAGCCACCCAGGTGCCCCGAGATTTGACATTTAAAAGTAGTAATGGGATGTGAATGCTGCCTGGTTAATGGTTTCTGTGTTTGGATTTTGACGTAGAAAGGAAAGATGAGTTGCAGGGTCTTCAAGGCAAACATGTTTGTCTTTCTAGAAGTTTTAGTGTCCCTAGCTTATGATTCATATTTGTGTGCTTTTATTTAAGGAGAGTTAAACTTTTTCATTGATGTGTGTTTTTCTTGATGTTTATGCTTATTCTGTTTTGAGAATGCCATTATAATTAAGAGAGCACATGATGCAAAAGATGTGAGGTAGTGATTTAATTTTATTATATAGTGGACTATCTTACCTAAACACCTGAAGAGACAGGGTAACATGAGGAAGAAAATATACTTCTGTGGCTGTTAATCACTGGAAGATGAATGATCTTGTTTGATTTGAGGGGGTGTTGAAATTGATCAAATACAATACATCGAAAATTTTGTGTTTGTTTTCTAATGTCTATTTCCTGAAACTTGTTTCAGTGGAAGATATAAACTTTGATTTTCATTCATAAGGCCCAGAATCACGTAGCAGTTATTTTATAAAAGTAATAACATCAGTCCATTAATAGACAGTCATATACCTAGACTAATGTTTTTCCAGTTTTGATGATTTGTTATTGATCTATCTAAACTGTTTGAACTATTTTTCTTTTTGTTTAGTCATATACTTTATAGAAATTGTTGGTCAGGACTCAAGGAAGAATAAAAATTTTGTATGTAATGTGGGAGATTTTTCTTTGTTAATTTTTGAAAAAAAAACCCGCATTATTTTGGTATTTACAGTGATCAGTATGACTTTAAAAGCTGCCACTTGTGTGGCACACGAATTGTTTTTGTCTGTGGTGAAATGGGAAAGAACTCTACACGAAGCCAGAGTATTGCTGAGGTGGGGGGGGGGGCACTAGTCCTGATATACTACTTAGTATACAGTGTTATCATCTCAGAAAGTTACTTAGCATTTTTTGTTTTGTAAAATGGGGATTAAAAATACTTGCCTACTTACCAGGATTATTGTTGAGGATCTATTGAGGGACTGCTCTTTTCTTTTTGTTATTTATTTATTTATTTATTTTTGAGGCAGAGACAGCATGAGCGGGGGAGGGTTAGAGAGAGAGAGAGAGAGGGAGGCACAGAATTAGAAATAGGCTTCAGGGACAGAGCCTGACGCAGGGCTTGAACTCACGAACTGTGAGACCATGACCTGAGCCAAAATTGGAGGATTAGCCAACTGAGCCACCGAGGCATCCAAGGGACTGTTCTTTAAATTTTTATACCAGAGACTTCTTCCCTGATCAGCAAATTTATTTCTTGAGTAATCTAAAGTTTCCAAATACAGATTTAAAAAAAAAATTGAAGAATCAAATTTATCATTGATGTAAGAGTAATATTTAAAGTTATAGTTACATTTTGTTTTAAGAAAAAAATTTCAGTACATAATTATGAAACTGAAAGAAACTGAAACTGGAAATTCAGAAAACTGAACTTTACATTAACATAAACAAATTGGGGGATTCTTAATTTCAAGAGCTTTAATTTAAATAACTCACTTCCCTGTTGTGTGACTGATATTATAAACAACATGCTTTTTTAGGAACTTAGCTGTTGCATAGTAGGGAGTGAGTGATTTTTTGGAATCCCTTATCCGTTTGAGGAGTCTGGTCATTTCCAGGAGCACACTACACATTTGTGGCAGCAAGACCCAGTAGTATATAGTCTTCATCATGTCTCAGTTGACTGCTCTGGGTCTCAGTTGCTCTGCTGGTAAAATGAGAAAAGTGTTATTTCTCTGGTTCTTAACTTTCCTTTTGGGTCATCGACTTTTTGAGTACTTGATACAAACTGTGGAACTCTGCAGAAAAATGCACATACATACAACTTTTTTGTTTTGTTTTACATCAGGCTCACATACCCCCTGGAATAGATGATCCCTCAGTTTCCTCCTATTTCCTTAAGTGTTTCAAAAGCATTCTTTTATTTTTGTCTCTGGTAATTATATACTATTATATTATTATATAGTCATCAAAGTCAGCTTCTTGGACTTTTAAAATATTAGCTTTTAAAAAACACTCAAACAGCAAACAAATCCTGTGTTGCTTTTAAAGAAAACTTTTGGGGTGAAGTGGGAGGAAAGGTTGAATAAACATCTATGGTAGAATGACTTAAATAGTTTAGAAAGTCTCTAGATTTCGGAAACAGTCTGTAGCAATCAGTGGCTCTCAGTGGGAGGGCATTGCCTTTTGGGGACATTTGGAAATATGTAGGGGCATTTTTAGTTGTTTCAGGCAGGGGAGGGGAAATGCGCTGGCAGTTAGTGGGCAAGCGCCAGGGACATTAAGTGTTTTGCAATGCTTAGGGCAATTCCACACAACAAGGAATTGTCCTGCCCAAAATGCCAGTGCCCTCTGACAAACACTGGCGATTGTGAGTCGAGCCAGGCACAATTGAACAGCGCGTTTTAAAGCTGAAGTTATTTTGCTCTTTCGGAGAAACATGATTCAATGCGACATATAGTTTGCCATTTGCTTTTTTCCAAAAAGCACAGACAGAAACAAATGATTTGCTGGAGGAACTTGGGCTGCTTAAAATGTATATACACTCTTTGTTCTCGAGTAGCTGTTTTAACAGCAGAAACGGGGGGCGGGGGGGGGGCGTTGGTGGGGGGGTTTACAGCGTCAGCCAGAAGTCTGGGAAGTGAAGGGATTTACACAGTGTGTTGGTCTTACACAGTATGTAAATTGGCCATAGGATTTTTTCTCCTTTAAAACCTCTTTTCACACCTTGATGTAGTAAGTACTTTTAAAGAAAATTCCAAGGCATTGGTTCACTTATTCTCATGATCTTTGTGCTATCATGTAGTTGCCTATTTGTATTGAGAATATATTACACTCGAGTTAGTTTTTCCATGTCTGTCATGTTTTCAGTAACCAAATTCCCTTACAAGTATCCATGTGCTAAAAGACAAGTCTGAGGAGTTGGGCTGGAATGGGACTCAGGGTTTAGAAGGAAGAGGATGATGGCTTTTGGAGTCAGACCTAAGGTAAAATTCCAGCAAGTTGCTAAATCTCTTTGACTTTGTATTTCATTTGTAAAATGAGGTTGGTAATGCTTACCTTTGGATGATCTTGAAGACTCAAGCTAACTCTATGTCTGGCATGGAGTTGGCCCTCTGTCGGTGGGTGTTGTATCAATAGTCATGACTATGGTGACAGTGAAGAATTCTATAGCTACCAAGCACCTCGGTAAATGTAGAGAGAACGTACAGCATGGTAATATGCTGGATACGACAGCAAGGAAGAGTCTGCAAAACCAGATCAGGAGATGTTTTCGAGATATTTTGGGTTGGTATTGGAATATGTTTCCCCGTGAATCAGCCATAATGCATAGTGCTTTCTGTACTCCGCGAAGCCATAGAGTTCAGGTATGCTATAGACCAAGTCAGGTTTGTGAAGACCTGCTTGAGGCCAGAACTCCCTGTGTGAGTGTTAGGCACAGAGCTTTGGATGTGGCTGAGGTTCAAGGAAAAAAAAGTCTTTTGTCTGTGTTTATCACATGGAACTGATAGGTTGTGAAAGTTACTAGTACTCACAAATATTCTCATTTTCATTCTGAATTGTTTTTCTTCTTAAGAGAAAGAGGGGGAGAGCATGTGTGCCCCCTGCATGTGAGCAGGGGAGGGGCAGAAAGAGAGAGAGAGTCCCAGGCATGCTCCATGCTCAGTACAGAGCCCGATGTGGAGCTCAATCCCACAACCCAGGAATCACAACCTGAACTGAAGTCAAGAGTCATACAGTCAACCAGCTGAGCCAGCCTGGCGCCCCTACACTGATTATTTTTTTTTCTTTTCTTTTCTTTTTTCTTTTTTTTAATTTCTGAGAGAGAGACAGAGACAGTGTGAGCAGGGAGGGTCAGAGAGAGAGGGAAACACAGAATCTGAAGCAGACTCCAGACTCTGAACTAGCTGTCAGCACAGAGCCTGACGTGGGGCTCGAACCCATGAACCGCAAGATCATGACCTGAGCTAAAGTCATACACTCAAATGACTGAGACACCCAGGCTCCCCTACAGTGATTATTTCTGAAGTCATCACCCCTCTCCCAAGCCCCCAGTTTACACATGGTTTTTTGTTTTTATTTTCCCACTCATAGAAGCATCAAATGTTATTTGTCTAAAACAAACGCACACAAAGGAAAGATCACTTTGGTTAGAGGTGTGAGCGGATGCCTAGACTGATGGTACTGGCACAGTTGTAGGCTTTTGGAGTCAGGAGCCGTGTGGCTAAAACTCCTTACCCCCCAGCCATGGATTACCCTTCATTTCCTTCATGTCCTTTCTTCTGCTTCTTATTGCAGATTTACCACAGTAGCTCCTCGGGTTGCAACAAGGGTTGACAGGGTCCAGGCAGGGGTGGGATGCAGCTGAGGCCTGTGGAGGGCCGGCCGAGGGCCAGTTTCTGTGCTTGGTGTATATGTAGCTGAGTGGGTGGCGGTCTGTGTTCTGTAAGATGCTTTTGTATGAAAACTCAAACGCATAAGCATTAAACAGCCCAACAGCTCGAGCCGTTCTCCTAGAGAGGCCATCCTCACGAGCAAGTCACATATTATTGTGAGCAATACAAAGTTTTCAGTCAGAATATGTTGATTTCCTATATGGATTCATTTATTGTATAATGAGTATAAAGATTGTTACCTAAATCTCTAGGCCTATCTGTTGTAACCGATAGGGTTGGAGATTTAGGTAGAAGAAACAGAAACCTGGATTTTAATCTTCCAGATTCTGGGGGGACTGTCTCAGGTACCCTGCTCTGCTCCTCTCAGAGGTGGGGTAAGTTTTTTTTATTATTCATCTAACCTGTGAACCTCGCAGGTCACTTATTCTGTCCTGGTAAATATATAAATAGAGGTAAATAAAAATCACTTATTTATTACATCATGCCTCTAAAAATGCTTTTTAAACCACTTCTTATGCAGTAAGTAACTAATTTACATAATATATAAGCTTGTCATTTCATTATTAGTACTTTGAAATTAATTAGTATCGAAATCAGAAAAATCGTAGGATCGTTCATTAGGCAAACATTGATTTCTTGTTTCTTATCTCTTGCAGGATTTCTGGTATGTCCTCTTTTAGGACAAGATGCTGTGACTGTAGAAACGCCAGCCTGCTGCGATTAACAGACAGTTGGCTTTTCGGCTGGGAAGTGGTTTTTTTTGTTGTTTTTTTGTTGTTTTTTTTGGTCTTACCAGTTTACTGAACTTATGAAATCATGGCAGAAGGAGAGACGGAGTCGCCTGGGCCCAAAAAGCGTGGCCCCTATATTTCATCTGTCACTAGCAGGAGTGTGAACTTGATGATTCGCGGAGTGGTGCTGTTTTTTATTGGAGTATTTCTCGCATTAGTGTTAAATTTACTCCAGATTCAGAGAAACGTGACACTCTTTCCACCCGACGTGATCGCAAGCATCTTTTCTTCAGCATGGTGGGTGCCCCCGTGCTGTGGCACGGCCTCAGGTACGTGCAGGTTGCTTCTGTGATGCTCAGAGAGGGAGCAGAGCACACGAGTGCGCATGCTGGCTGAGCAGGACCTGTTTTCCCCAGCATTGATTTCAGTGCAGTACAGCAGACCGGTTTTAAATGAATGCTTCGATGCGTTTAGGCGAACGCGTGAACTTGTGCCACCCACCATCCCAGTCCCGCTGTAGAGCATTTCCGTCACTCACAGACCCCCTTGTGCCCCCTTGCAGTCCATTCCCCACCCCCAGCCTCAGGCTTCCCCTGATCTTTCTGTCCCTGTTCCACAATGTGATGTAAATGGAATCCCAGGGTAGGTACTGTTGTGTCTGATTTCTGTCTGACCTGTGAACGTTAAAAAATTTAATCCTAAGGGGCTCTGGGGTGGCTCAGTGGGTTAAGCATCCGACTTTGGCTCAGGTCATGATCTCGTGGTTCCTGAGCTGGAGCCCCGTGTCCCGCTTGGCACTGACAGGTCCGAGCCTGGAGCCTGCTTGGGATCCTGTGTCTCCCTCTTTCTCTGCCCCTCCCCTGCTTGCACTCTGTCTCTGTGCCTCTCTCTCAAAAATAAGTAAACATTAAAAAATTTAAAAATTCAACCCTAAAACAAATCTTGCTTCTCTTCAGGTTGAGGCTTTTTATCCTTTCTTCAACCCACCTCATATTAAGTCTTACTCTAAGTTATTTTGATCATCATTGCCACTGTTTGGCTTTAAGGGTTGGATCCATGTATGTTATGACCTTGTTTTTGAAGTAGATGAAAACTTGAAAGATGGAGTCATTTTATTCAAGTTTAAAGCTTCATGTAGGCAATAATTTACTTTCAAAATCAGCCAAATTCGGGGCGCCTGGGCATCTCAGTCGGCTAAGCGTCTGATTCTTGGTTTCAGCTCAGGTCATGATCTCATGGTTTGTAGGTTTGAGCCCCACATCAGGTTCTGTCCTGACAGTGTGGAGCCGGCTCAGAATTCTCTCTCTCTGCCTCTCTCTCTCTCTCTCTGTCCCTTCCCCGCTTGAGTGTGTGTGCACACGAGTGCTCTCTTTCAAAATAAATAAATAACTCAAAATTTAAAGCTTCATGTTATTATTTTATAGATTTTTGGACATGCTTTCTTCTTGGTATCTTGCTATCAGATATAGCTTAAGAATAATGAATACTTAAAGATACAAATAAGGTAGATTCTCTTAGCTTAAAAATCATTATCCTATTTCAGTAGTTATTATAGATCTTTTTTGGTGGACAATGTGTCATGGATAAAGGGGAGCATTTCAGAAAGCCTTCTTAATACTGAGCTTCCATCATGGACGCTCTTTTGCTTCTTCCAATGACAGAGACCAATAGATTAATACTACCTCATAAAAGAAAGTAATAGAAGGAAGCCATCAGTGGGTGGTAGAAGAAAGTTCTGATTGAGGGAGAAACTGCTTTTTGGAATGTCCGTTTGGTGTCTCATATTTAATATACACCAATACCTGCAGTAAAATGGAGATCCTTCTTGACTTCCACCCTAGAGCTGGAGGTCGAAGAGTGAGGTGTTAGGTGTGAGATGACCTCGCGGAACCTACTAGGCAATTGCATGGATGGAAGGACATTTTGTGGTCAGGTTCCAGTATGGTTTATGGATCGATGTCTCTGTTACAATATTCATAGTAAAAGTTTGTAAAGGCAGTGATTCTTAGTTGTTCCAGGGTTATTACATTTTCTGAGAGAATAGGCAAACTAGTCCAAACAGAGGAGAAAGCAAAATTATATTTTATCATTCTCTGTCATATCTACCAGCCCTCTTGTATTTTCTTTTCTTTCATTGAAACTCCAAAGAAAAAATTAAGTTTTCCTACCATATTTTTCTGTTTTTTTTTTAAAGTTTATTTATTTTGAGAGAGAGAGAGAGTGGGGGAGGGACAGAGAGAGGGAGGGAGAGAATCCCAAGTAGCCTCTACATTGTCAGCGCAGAGCCCGATGAGCTCGAACTCCCGAACCGTGAGATGACCTGAGCCAAAATCAAGAGCTAAATGCTTAACTGACTGGGCCACCCAGGCACCCCTGGTTTGTTTATTTTCTCCTATGGTATAGCTACTATCTGGTTATGAATTGAAGCTATTTGGGATTTGGAAGAACATGTCTTTTCAGAATAGACAAAAGGAAGGTCAGGGGAGAGAAGCTCTTACTTAATGAATGCCTCCTAATGTGCTAGGCTCACCCCGTAACCCCAGGGATCCATAGGGCCCCTTTGGGAGTGAGATTTTGGCATTGCGCCTGCTTTGGGGGAATGAGGAAGCTGAGATGAAGAGAGGGTACCAGCGAGCCCCGGGTCTCAGAGCCACCCGGTGAGTGGTGCAGCTAGGTCACATCTCACATGCTGGAGAAAGGGAAAGAGAAAGCTGCTCACGCTCCCCTCTCCTAGGGGTGCCTCATTCGAAGCTTGCAGATGAAGCGCCCGGCTTGCATGGAATGTACTGTTGTGTGGTGTACATTCGTGGCGGGGGCAGGAGAACTTGACCGAGGTTTCATTGTACCTCCATTAAGGAGAGGACCAGGGGCCGCGTTTGTCCCTGTGGTGTGGGCATTTTTGCCACAAGCTCCTACTTAGAAAGGAAGATTCCAAATGTTAATGCTACATTTCGGTCACCTTGCCGCTGCTTTCCTTCCTTTTCCCAGCCCCTAGGTTTGTCACACTTGCAAACTTAACTTCATAGCTCTCTGTTTGGGCTATTTCCACTTACATTTCTTGCTTAAGTGTTTCTTCTGACAGTGGTACATTCCACAAGGTAAGTGAAGATAGAGAGGCATTTTGGAATCTAGATTTCAGTTAATGTTGCTACTGATTTTGTTGGGTAAGTCACGGTATTTAGTAAATGAAAGCAAAGTACCATATTTGTGACAGTTGCCAAAGGTAGAAAATGGATTCCTGCCCCTCTGGCCCCCAATTTTAGGGAAAATATCAAAGAAATAAAAAGTAAATCATATGACAAACATAGTGTGTACAAGCTGACACGCGTTCAAAGTATGTATATGTTTTTCTGCACGTGTGTTGGTAGGCATTTTCAGAACTCTTTAGGCTCTTAACCATCTTAAGTCAGAAAACCCAATAATTGTCCTTTGATTTTCCCATCCAACAATATTCATAGGCTGAGCCCCTTCTGAGGGCTCTGCAGAATCACCACTTCCTACGTGCAAACAGAAGGGCCCCTGGTTATTTGCTCCCTTGCCCTGTGACACAAAGTGCTGGAAGATTTGCTAGCCATGCTTCTAGAAGGACACCCAGTAGAGAACTCTGGTAAATTGCCTTTGCTCTCATTTTCCTTTTTATGGTTCTCTATTTTTAATTTAATAATGGCTGGTGTTTCAAGTTGATTAACTTCTCTGTGTGTGCAGTGCATTGGAATCAGTTAGAAACCTCTTGAACATGAGCGAGGGCTGCAAAGGAATCTTTCTGAAGAATGAATAGAGGAAAAAGATAACCACCATCGTGTGCATAACATAACTACAGAAACTGACTCGAAAATTGTAAATAACCAAATTATGTTCATACCCGTGAAGCTAACGTCTAATGTAAAAAGGAAAAGCCAATCTTTCCAGGTTGGCCAGGCAGTCATTTACCAGTTTCTGGGGAGCCCCGCAAGACTTCACTCTTACCTCCAAGGGTCCAACTTCCATGTTTCCCCTGTCTCTTTCTTGGTCCAGGCGGCCCTCTACCACTCTGATGGGAATTTTCACTGCTTTCTTTTTCTGCTTTTGATTTTGAACTCTGCCTGCTCCCTGGCGCCTATTGCGTGTGATGCCCTCGGTGCCATAGGAGCGCATGCCCCTCTCTCTGGTACAAATTCAATGGCATTATTTCCCGATTCCCCAGCATCTGCAGGGCCCTTCCCAACCTGTCTGTTCTTCTGAGTCTTTCTGAAGCTTCCTTTTTGCCTGAAGCTTCCAGCTCCAGGTAGTAGTGGGTATTTTGCAGTTTCCATGCTTTTCCTCAAATGCTTCCTTGGGATTAGGAAGCCTTTCCACGCACTGACCTGCGGAGCGCTCCTTCCTCAGGGACCACCTTCTCGGTGAATCTTTCCTGACATCCCAGCACCTGCCTTCCCTCAGCACCTGCCAAGGGGAGACTGGGCCCCCACCGGACGCTATCAGTGCCACGCTGTGGTCACTTTGGGGCCGGGATTGTGTCTTACTCTTTTTTCTTTTTAAATCCCCACTGAATATCAAGAACCAGACACGTTGTGGGAGCTTAGGTATTTATTGAATGGAACCTTTCCTATCCTGTAGTAGTTTTCCACGGAAGTCCATCTCATTCAGTGGCTTTGTGCTTTCAGCCCCCTTTCCTTGCAAAACATTTGATTGCAACTGTCCCTTGTAGTGCATCACTGAATTAAACACACTACCATGTGTTTTAACTGAATTAAACACACTTCCGTCCTGAAAGCATGGTGACTTAATATTGATGTCTTACAAACTTCTTCTGATTTCAGCTTGGTAGGCTGTAACTGGTCCCTGGGAAAGAGCTTGAATCTATCCCAAGCGATGTTATTTTGCATCAGAGCACCCTCCGATTCAGCAGGATGATGTTTGCATATGATGGCACGGTTTTAACAGTCTATCCCATTAGGATAGGAAAGTGGAGAAAGAGGAAAAGAAGCCCAGACAGTTGTGCTGAGCTCCCCCACAGTGGAGCCTCACCGTGCTGTAGATATTGTGATCAGACTCTGCCATGCCTTTATTTAAAGGGAAGGAAGAAGACATTTAATGGGAAGTGACAAGCTTCCTCGAATTCTCCTTCTCAGTGAGCATCCGAGAACCATGCATACTCAATGGATTTGATTTTTATTGGCAAATCCCAAGGTTGGCAGCGTGGCAGTTTAAATTCCTTTTTGTGTTTTTGCTTTCTCTCCTCAGTTGTCTCTCCCTTGCGAGTCTGACATCACATGCATACAAATCTAGTCAATTTTACTTATTTATTTCTTTGCACACACGTCAGTATTCTCTATGTGATAATTCTTTACCTGTGGCATCAGCTGCTGAGGAAAATTGACTTGGATGCCTGATCTTAGTTGATTTTACTCAGCAACAGGCAGAGGGAGGACAGAGGGAGAGCGAGCGCGAGGAATGATATGAGCTGTTAGTTTCATGACCCCTTGAGAAAGAAAAAAGAGGTTACATTCATTTAGATATATTTCAACCATTAGGCATGCTCGGTGCCATTTTAATTTTGTAGAAATTTGGAAATGCTGTCAGTTAATCTCATAGGATTTTAGAGTTGAGCCTTTTAAATAAGAATAGGATATGAAAGTTTTAAATTTACTAATAGTTGTTGGAGGTCAGCATTGCTGAAATTTGTTGTTAATCTCTTGATGATCTGTGAACGAGCTATCCTCAGCAAAAGCCTAACTCAGGAGAGTACTTTGAGATTTGTGGGTTACAACACGGATACATCATTGTAGCAGCTCACCTTCAGATGGAGGTCTGCTAGCCTGCGAGTTTTGATATTAATTGATTTCCATTTTCCCTTAATGATTGGATGCATCGTTTGTTAAGGTATAGCTAGCCAATGCCTAACAGTGGGGTTCCTGATCTTCAGGCACTCAGATCTTGGAACAATAATTTCAAGATACATCATAGATAGCTTTGGGCATTCTAAACAGGCTTTTCAACTGTTGTAACAGTTGTGTCTTTAACTTAATGGCAACCTCTGCATTCTGTTTTTAGGAAGTTTAGCAAATCAAAGCTGGCTAGCTATTTCCTATTAAATTTAATCTGTAGAAGTACATTTTCCTCATAACCTGTTGAAGAATGTTTTGGTTCATTAAGGTCTTTTTTTAAATGACTAACTTCGCTTTTAAAATCCTCTCCCATTAAATGAATAGAGTGTTGAAGTCTGACAAGTATTTTAATTAAAACTTGGGTGCAAGTATTTTGAGTCTCAAGCATAGACATTTTGCGTACAGTTATTCATAATTACGCAGCTAACATCGAAGATGTTCTTTCCAAAACCAAGAAACGTACTAAAATGATTTCTCCTCATCTTTTTAAGAGTGAGTTTAAATTTTAACTGAAATTTATAACTTATAGAATCAGTTTCCTAGGTTGTTTTCCTATGTGCAGAAAGAGGCTCACGTATAGACTTCTGTTGCAAGTTTCTCCGTTTTGACAATACGACCTAGAGTCTCATTAGAGGGCCAGGGTGGCGGGGAAGGTCGGGACAGCGTTGGGCACGGGAGACCAGCTGGAGGAGCGAAGATAGTCTGTGTAACGGGACAGTCATCGGCGCCCGAAGGAACACGATGTGTGCGATGAGCTTATTGTACACGTTTACGCTTCCGGCTCTCTTTAGACAATCTATGGCATTTTATAGCATGTTTCATGGTTATGTAGTTTAGAGAGAACATTGCTTAACTGCCAGCTGGTTTGATGCTTTTCAAACCTCAGAGATAGTAGTAGTAGAAGAGTAGCATGAATCATTTAGTGCAAACTGCTAAACTGTGACTCATGCGTGGAAATCATGCTTTGCCAATTACAGTTTAGGATACTGCGGTAATCATTTACAGTGCCTTCTTCAGTGGTGTTATCTTTTTTTTTTTTTGGGAGGTAAGTTTAAAAATATCAGTGATTGATGTTAAGTAACTTGAAGAGCCTTTTAAACAATCTTTCAAATGGCTATGGGGGTTGTAGTGACTCTTTTAGCTTAAGTTTTGCCAGTCTAGCATTGGAGATGACTTAATGTTTTTTTTTTTTTTCTCCTTTTTTCCACAGCCGTGATTGGGTTATTATACCCCTGCATTGACAGGCATCTAGGAGAACCACATAAATTTAAAAGAGAGTGGTCCAGTGTGATGCGGTGCGTAGCCGTCTTTGTCGGCATAAATCACGCCAGTGCTGTATCCTTTCCACTGTGGCGAAATGCATAATCACAAAGCCGCTGCAACAAACCAGAGGTTAAACCGTCCCTTGCAGCTTCGCCACTGTCAAAGTGGGCTGTGTCTGTCATCAAAAGCGTGTATGCTGTACTGCGGAAACATCACCTGAGGACCTGTGTGTGTGCGGGTGGGGTGTGGGGAGGGGGTAGAGCCTTTCCCGAAAGTCCCCGGTTTTCAGTAGCACTCGGAAACTTTGCATGTTTGCAGATTTTGCGTGGGTTTCTTAGCTTAGAAATTACTTCCGTATAGTGTCAGTAACTCTAAGATTGAAACAGGTACGTTTTCAAAGCATTTCTTTCTTCCCTTTTTTCATTTAAGACTTGCCAAGAAGGACAGGTGGTAGCTTCATGCTGTCTTCTTTTCTTTCTTTTTCTTTTGGCTTGTTTTTAATTTAAAGAACCTATAATTTTTTCAGAAAATGTCAGACTCATCTATTGGTTCTAATCAGTGTCAGCAAACCCCGTAAATGTTCTTAAAGGTGGTGTAAGTGAAAATACTCAGCTAGACACTGGCCAAAAAGAAAGTTTTTCCCTAAGGTATGTATTTTTAAAATGTGATCATTTAAAGATTCTGACATTTTATTTAGTGATTAATGAATATTTTTATTTTTTTATTAAAAAATTTTTAATGTTTATTTCTGAGAGAGAGAGAGAGAGGAGCAGAGAGAGAAAAAGACAGAGGGAGACACCGAATCCGAAGGAGGCTCCAGGCTCCGAGCTGTCAGCACAGAGCCCGATGCAGGGCTTGAACTCACGACTGGAGAGAACATGACCTGAGCCAAAGTCAGACACTTAACTGACTGAGCCCCCCGGGTGCCCCTGTATGAGTATTTTTATAGTGTCCTTGCTAGAAGGGTAAAGTGGCCTCTATTTCCCTTCTCCCCACTGTCTTCTCCCCCACACCACAGTGCACCCCAGAACAAACGTTTTTGCCCTCTTGAGGTTTTTATCTTGTCATCTTCCCTGCTTCTCATCTTCTTCCCACCCCTGACTTTCTCTTGTAAAAGAGTCTGGGACATGCTAGTTCAGTACTCCCTTTTCTAGAAGATGTGGCTTAGAGTGTGGAGGAGCAGGAGCTTGGACGCTGGGGTAAGGGTGGAATGTGGGTCAGGCTGCCCAGGGTTGCCTCTTGTTGCTCTGCACCAGGCTCAAGGCTGGCAGTTAGCTGGAGAGGGGGTGGGCCATGTGGCCGGTAGATTCCTTGTCTTTTACAGAAGATACTGAGGTATTCTGGAAAGGCTTGGGAAGAGGAATGGAGGCACGTGATGATCCTCGATTCCACAAACACGTTGCCTTTCTCTTCCCAGTTGTGCTAGCCCTTAGGGGTCTATGAATTTGGAAGGCCCTCAGTGGCAGTTATTATTTTGGTTTTCCATTTCCCTATTAAAGAATTTCCTAACGTGTTTAGCTTGCTGCAGTCTTTCGAGATTTAGGATTTTATCCCAAACAAATCTAGTGATTAGGAGGGTTTAAAAAGATAAACTCCTGTAATATTCTATCTAGAGGACAACTAGAAATCACCTAGTTCCACATTTTCTTTATAAAAATAATAAGATGAATGATAGCTGGAGGGGTTGGCATTCATACCGCAAGTCTGGGACAGAGCTGAGACCTGACCCCAGAGATCCTGACTCAAGGCTTTGAAGGACTCCTTCTTCTATTCAGGAGCCTGGTGAGCGAGCGCGTAAATTCCTCTCCAGCTGGTGGATTAGATAGCTCTACCCTAGATGTTTCCCGTGTTTTTAAATAGAGAAATTTAAATGGCCCTGTCTGGGATTTAAAAAGCTTTATGTGTCTAATTTAAATTTTTTGCTTTGGTCATTCTTTTCTTTCTCTGTCAATGAAGTACCTGAATATAGCAATTTTTAACTGTTACGCCTGCCCTTTAAGTAAAATCCAAAATGTTTGCAAAATGTTAACATAAATTTATAACATAGACTTAATATTAGGTCCCTTAGACTTGAGAAATGACATGGTACTGTTTTTCAGATCAATTATTTTACCTGTTTACCTGTTTATTTTGCTTTGACCCTTAATGAAATTAATTTGGTCATCATAGGTAGAACTCAGTTAATATCAAATTCTACACTTTAAGCATGTTTATTGCATAGAAAAATCAGAGCATATAACCTTTCCATTGGAGCTTTAGGTATAACGTCTGGTAAAGAATAAGGAATCTTTTCCGGAAAGCCTACTATAAACTATAGGTTTTTTCATAAATCAAGCCTAATCAAGAAATGACCTTGAGGGCGTGGCCAACAATAGCTCTCAGATGCCGAGAAGTCAAGCAAACCAGGTTTTAGAGGTACCAGATGGTGGGGGAAGGGGGATGGTGGTAAACAATGGGATGTTAAAGGAAGTAAGAAATAGTTTTGTATGCATTTTTTGAACTTCTCCTCTCTTCTCTAGTTACGGCATGGCCAGTTAGCTTGGCGAGATATCTAGTCTCCCCTGGGGACTGGATATGGAGCCAAGATGTGGCCTTTGGGACATAGATAATGCCCTTTTAATGATACTTGAAATTAATTCCTTTAGTGTAATCCTCTAGCAAAGAAATGAGAAAATTGAATTTGTAAAGCTTCGTTTTGCCCAGAGATTTAGGAGTAGAAAAGGGCCGTGCATTTGTGAATAGATGCTTAAGTAGGTGACGGAAATAAAATATCATTTGAGCAAACTGTCCTATACCAGAAAGTCTCAGGCACCAAAATAGCTTGGCAGGTTGCAAGATAATGTTCACTTCAAGGCTTTATCCTCAACAAATTAAAACTAGAACAGTTGACATAATAGAAAGGGATACTGTGTCCTTGGTACTCTTGTTTCTGAACTGCATTATTATAAAATGTGTCTGTCAGTAAATCATACAGAGAATGTGGTACCCTGTTAAATAGCTGTCAACTCTTCTATTTTCAAGTTCTTGTATGATTCTTAAGTAATTCTGAACCTGTTTGAGAAGTAATATTGGACTCTTTTTTAGCAAAAGTATGTTCCTTTAGCAATACTTGTGTTCTGAGGCTTCCGGTTACATTTTTAGCAAAGAATGCATTTCTCAAATAATGGGTCTGATCTTATAATTGTGAGTGTAGATAGAAGTTTTTTTTTTTTAAGGACTTACAGGTAGGTGGGATCTATTAATGAAGCATCATGCACTCATTGTATCTTTAGTAAATATCAGAGACAGTTTTAATCTCACTCAGTGTCACACATTGTATGAAAAGACTGACCGCGCTCTGGAATAAGCAATCAATTCGTGTCTCAACAGTAACATCTCTTATTTCATGAAAATAAACAGGTGGTATTATGCAGTTACAAGTTGTAAGATGATTCTTTAACCCATATCTCAGAAAGTGGACTTTGATAACAACATCCAGTTATCTCTCACCCTGGCTGCACTCTCCATTGGACTGTGGTGGACCTTTGATAGGTCTAGAAGTGGTTTTGGCCTTGGAGTAGGAATTGCTTTCTTAGCAACCTTGGTCACTCAATTGCTAGTCTATAATGGTGTATATCAGTAAGTATTCTTCTTGGTGCTTGTTTGCTAAAAATAACTGGCAAATGATTTCAGAATTGAGATTTTAAAACTGGGCCAGCCACTTTATAGACTTGACAACTTATTTCCATTAATAAGTGTCATTGTACTTCCTCAGTGGGTTGTTAAAAGCATTTCTATTATTCTAGATATACATCTCCAGATTTTCTCTATGTTCGCTCTTGGCTACCGTGTATATTTTTTGCTGGAGGCATAACAATGGGAAACATTGGTCGACAACTGGCAATGGTAAGCTGATGCTTATTTAATCTGTTATTAAGATGTTTTCTCCAAACCAAGCATACTAAAGGTCAGAGGAACCATCGGATAGAAAAACTCAAATGTGTCATGGGTAAGGTGATAGGACGTATCATCTTATTTTCGAAAACTAATCCATAGGTTTCTACTCCCATCAAAAAGAGACTATTTTAAAAGTGAAAAGAGACATTACTAGTGACTGTGTTGCTTCAGTAGTTAGAAATTAGGACCATCTCTGGCACATCAAGGTGTTTGATCATATTAGTTAAAAGGAAGACGGACACCGTGGATAACCCCAGTCATAGATGGCAGGGGTCAGGGAGAAGCATTCAGGGGCCACAGCAGTTCCATGAATGTGTTGTCACTCTAATCGTTGGAGGCAGCTAGGAGACTTGAGTGGCTTATGTTGCTGTCATTCTGATACCCTAGCCACTCGGTTATCTTAAGCCTCTTAGTTTCCTTTATTTTGAGTGGTGGGTGTACATCTATAGCTATGCTTTGAAAATATTGTTTTGACCAGAAGATTTTGCTAATGTGACAGATTTTTTTCCTTGAAATTGTAAAGCAATTTGACAAAATATGATCTGAATTCACTGTATCAGTCCTGTTGTGAAGTTCATGACCTTTCCTTTGCTGATTCACCCATTCTGCTTCCTTTCGTGTAGTAGGATTGATCTGAATCATACTGTTGTTATTTGCTTGAAATGCAGTCACCTTGTCTGTTGCCTGCATTTGCTGTCTCTTTTCACTTCTAGACCGTGAACTCTCTTTCTCCCTGTCACGTTTGTCGTTTAATTCAAATCATCGCATACCTCTCAGCTTCTTTGACAAAGTGGGCGTATGTTAATAAAGTATTAATTTTTAGTTTATGTGGAAATTGGTATTCCAAATAAACCTTAATCTGTTAACCTTTTAATTTTTACAGTATGAATGTAAAGTTATCGCAGAAAAATCTCATCAGGAATGAAGAAAGCAAAAATCTATCTTTTGTACAGAAAAACAAGCTGAAAAGGGCATGATAGCTATTCCAGCAAAACTTCGGACTGTAAAATTGCCAGGATGCAGTTTTCCCCTTGATTGGTGTATAGGTGTGTGTGTGTGTGTGTGTGTGTGTGTGTGTGTGTGTGTGTGTGTAAATATATATAGTAAATATATATATACACACACATACATATACACACATACATATGCACATATGCATATACATGCACATACACATATATTACTGCAATCTGTGATTGCTTCATCTGTAAATCAGTTGCAAACCTTTATGTATTTGACTTAAATAACTATAAAATATATATGCACTACATTAAAAATACATGCATTAATAGATGAAATTCTTAAATTAATTTTTTAAACATACCATATATTGTGTCACAATGTTGATGTGCCAAAATATCCTGTTATTGTCATGCAGAGTATAAGAATGCTTGAACTGTTTATAAACTGAGTGAAATAAAATAAGAGGAAAGCCAGAAAGAAAGAAAAGAAAGAAAGAAAGAAAGAAAGAAAGAAAGAAAGAAAGAAAGAAAGAAAGAAAGAAAAAAAGAAAAGAAAGAAAAGAAAGAAAAGAAAGAAAGAAAAGAAAGACAAAAATGGAAAGCCGGCATATCCTCTTTTCCTTACTGTTGTGCCTTTTTATTTTTCTAATCACAGCAGTTTGAGCTATGGGTGCCCTAATGTGTGGTTAGTTTCTATTTTAATGTTGTCTCAGAGAGCTTTGGGTGTTTTAATTCATAATGAAAATGAACGTCGGTAAAACATTTTCAAACCTGCATTACTGGAGAGAGTCCAAAAAGGAATTACACTGGAGGTAAAAGTGTTGAGCAGGAGAGGTTATCAGCATTAAATTGTTTTAAGTCTATAATCTGCAAGACTATATATAATTAAAAGAAGGTACCATTGGGAAATTTAGCTGGAATAAATGTGTTTTAGAAATACAAAACTGGCCTTTTGCAGTGCCGCAAAGTGTTAAATGATACTGTCATATCCCATTGCTTTTGCACATGGCACACACAAGAAACCCATGAAGTTTCTAATCCTCTTGCCTTCTATAATCTGCCGCGTTCTGTAAAGCAAACCGCATTAGCTGGCAGGGTCATGTGACCGATTATCATTGCAATGCCATGTGGGGAATGGGCGAGCACATCGCTTTTTATATATTCCTATGCCCATTAGCGAATAGTTTAAGCCTGTTGAAGAATGTACCGAGATGGCATTTTGTGCATGTTAAAGATCTTGATAACAGTTTTGTGTGTATCTTTCCAACAGCTGGAACCATGTAAGTGTGGTTTAAACATAACTTTAGCGAAATTTTTTTCCCAACTTTTATTGATGGTAATTGTCTGATACACAAGGGTGGAGATTTCTGTTTACTGTGTGTGTGTGTGTGTGTGTGTGTGTGTGTGTGTATGTGTGTGTGTGTATATGCGCACACACGTGCTGGATTGCATGAGAGAGAGGATGTACATGTAAACATGTATGTGCATGTGCCCATGCTTTCATTGTATGTCAACTAGATCTTGTAATTTTTGGTTTTAAAACCATTGCTGTCAGACTGAGATCTTGTATGCCAAACTTTAATCTGCTTTTACATTTTAAGGCTGAAAGCGAGAAAATCCTAAAAGGATTTCATATTGAATATATGTACACAATCTTAACTATAGTGGTGGTACACATACTACTATAATTTATTATTCTATCTTCCAGATAATATTATTCATTTAGAACAAATAAGGTATATTTTTAGAATCAACTTTGTAAGCACTATCAATCTTTAATAAGTTATAAGGTCTATGATGTATTTACTTTGAAAATTGCTGTTAAAAGCAAGATGTATTAAATATATAATTGTCATCTTGGTTAAGAGTCTTTCTTTCTTCCCTGTGGTGAATCTTAGAATCTAATACAGATGATTAATTTAATCAAATTAACATATATGGTTGAATTTGCTAAGAAATAATGAAAGGAAACCAAATCGAGTGTTATAGGAATTGAATGATTATCATTTTGGGATTCTTAAATTATTTTTAGATCATCTAGAAAACAAGATATTAATGGCAAAAATAAAATTGTTTTGATATTTTCATAAGTATGTGAATATATTACACTGTTTTTTTTTGTTTGTTTTTTTTTTTTTGCAATGAAAGAAAGTGGTAAACATCTTTTAACATTGCTATGTTGTCAGTGCTTCCTTTTATTAGAGTTCTGGAAATTGAACACTTGAAAACGGAGACTAAATTCTGCAAACACACAAGAAAACAGTTAACTAGCCAGAATCCTGCTAATACATTTGTTATAAAATGTACTTCCTTATGTGGAGCTATTTTACCTTTATTAAGGTCACTGGAACCTCTCAGTGGTGCATACATTCATACATCTTGTATTTTCTAGGTGGAATCCAGACTTGTCATTATTAAATGCCTCTCTGATCTTCCTGGCTCACAGCAGAGTACAGCTGATCCTTGAAACAATGTGGGACACAGGGGTGCAATCTGTGTATAATTTCTGACTCCCCCGAAACTTAACTACTCATAGCCTTACCAATAGCATAAATAATTGGTATTGTATTCTTATAATAAAGATAGAGAAAATAAAATGTTCTTAAGAAAATCATAAGGAAGAAGAAATGCATTTACAGTACTATACTAAATTTATCCAAAAAATCCACATATGGGTGGACCCACGCAGCTCAAACCCATGTTGTTCAAGGGTCAAACTGTGTATTCTTTGCAAGGTAGTTCTTCCAGTTAAGGTCTATGTGTAGCAGAGTCCTAGCTTCGTGTGTCTGGAAGAGTCTGCTCTTTTCTCCCCAAACATCTTATCAGGCCTTAGAATTCCAGGTTCCTGGTTTGCCCCTGCTCCCATCATGTCAAAGACTTTTAACTCATTATTTATGCACTTTGAATCTATGCGCTCAGTGTTTTCAATTCTAGAAAAATTTTAAATCTGGCTGCCTATTGGAATTTATGGGAACTTGTAAAGTATGCTGATGCCTGGTCCCCATCTTTAGAGACTTTAAAATAAATGGCCTGGGATGTGCCCCGAGCATTAGGATCTTCAGAATGTTTGCAGGCAGGTTTAATGTGCAGCCAAGATTGCCACTCATTGGTGTAGACTAATGTAAGATGAGGGGAATGTTTGAGGTCAGAGAGATATTGTAACTTGGGGAACAAAGAGTGAGGGCAACAGGGACATACATTTTGGACTAAGTCATCTGAACTTGATGACTTGAGCCTGAAGGTTAAGGAAGAGGAAGTGTGACTTATTCCTTGGAAAACTAGGTGGATGGTATTTCTATAAACCAAAGTGGAATACAGAGAAGCAGGTGAGTGAGTAAAGTTAATGAGTCTAGTTTGATAAATTGAGGCCCAGGTATGTCGGGGACATCTGGTAAAGATGGGTCATGAGCAGTTGGACATTTGAGTCTGGGTTATTGGATATAAATGAGAGAGGTCGTTGTTGGCATATGTCCATAGTCCTTGAAGCTGTGGGGGTGGATGTGATCCCCTTGGGAGCATGTTACGGCTTTAAAGGAGAGGAGATCTGAGGCATATTGGCATGTTGGCAGAGGAGCTGGAGGAGGTGGAGAGGGTGTTGCCAGAAGTGGGAGGAGAAGTAGAAGAGTGATGTGGTTCAAGCCAGAGCAGAAGGCAGTTCCAGACAGGAGAGTGGTATATGAAGTACAGTTGGAAGGAATTACCAACCTTAGAGATACAGGATATATATCTGTTTTATGTTGAAAAATGCTTTTCCTAACCTATTGTATCTTCACCTTTAAAATATTTCGTTGTATACTAATAGCTCACAAAAGATATTTGGGAAAAGCCGGATCATATCCTAAGCCATTTACTATGAGCAAGGGGAGCTGAGGTTAGCTAGAAAACTTTGAAAGATGGTGGAGGTTTGGACAGCCTCTCTGAAGAATGGACACAGGGACTGACTGACTAGAGATGAAGAAAGAATTCCCAGGCAGTTTTGAGGCCAGCAAGGATTCAGGTGAGGCTTGAGATGAGATCCTTGACGTGGAGCCAACAGCTTAGCTGTGCCATGTCTGAGGCTCAGGAGCCCAGGAGTTAGGGCCGTTGTGATGCACAAGATAGATTCTAGTTAGGAATTGTTGGAAAACATGGCATAAAGGCTATGTGAGAAATTGACGGAGGCTCCTAACAAAAGATCGGGAGTCTTGGGATCCAGGCAAATTGGAGAAGTTGAATCAGCAGTGCTGACCCAACAGTGTGAAAGAATGATGTAAGCTAAAAGTACTACATGCCTTGAGGTAAAGAACATTTTTTCATAAGAAAGATCATAGGCCTAGAGTTTGTAGTCAGGAATTTAGTGGAATGTTTCCAGACCTTGTTGAGGTCCAAGGTATGATCTAAACAACTTTGTTTACACAGTTCACCCAAGTGGGTGGAGAGGCACAGCTGCAGAGTGGAGACCCAAGGTCTGGGTGGCCAGCTGTTAATAGCAGTGTTGGTGTTACCTGGAATGATCTCAGAGGTCAGGTGGAAAGAAAGATTTTTATCTGTAGTGCTCATGACCATTTAAATGAAATACTTATCCAGTTGCCTTGATTGTATTGGAATTTTAATTAGAGTCCTTTCTCCCTTCTTTTATTTATTTATTTTTATTTTTTTCCATCATCCTACATATTCTGATCTGTAGGAGCAGGTCTTTTCCTATTAATCCTGTACAATCAGAGACATCTCCTCTTTAATTCTGGGCTTGTTTGTTTGTTTAAAAAAAACATTTTTTAATGTTTATTCATTTTTGAGACACAGAGAGACCAAGCATGAGTAAGAGAGGGACAGAGAGAAAGGGAGACAGAATCCGAAGCAGGCTCCAGGCTTTGAGCTGACAGCCCAGAGCCCGACGTGGGGTTCGAACTCACAGACCATGAGATCATGACCTGAACTGAAGTCAGATGCTTAACCAACTGAGTCACCCAAGCGCCCCATGTTTGATTGTTTGTTTTGTCTTTGCTCTTATTATTCCCTTGTTCTCTATTCTTCTCAAATTCCTCCATTCAAGAGATCTTTGACCTTTTGTTTCTGTTTTCTGTGTATCCCTTAGCTTTTCTCTGCTGTGCTACACTCTAGAAGAATTACTTAATCCGATCTTCCAGCTCAGTGAGTTGCTCCTCAGCTATATCCATTCAGTGTTCAGCCATCACCGGGCTCTTACTTTCAGTGGTCACAGTTTTCATTTCAAAGCTATGTACGTATGTATGTATTTATGTATGTATTTATGTGGAAGTGTGTTGTCATTCTTATATGTTTCTTGTATTTTTTGAGGATATTGATTATTCTTCTTTTAAAGTTCTAAATTTGGGGTGCCTGGGTGACTCAGCTGGTTAAGCATTCGACTTCAACTCTGGTCATGAGCTCACAGTTGGTGGGTTCGAGCCCCACATCAGACTCTGTGCTGACAGCTCAGAGCCTGGAATTTGCTTTGGATTATCTGTCTCCCTCTCTCTCTCTGCCCCTCCCCCGCTCATGCTGTCTCTGTCTCTTTCTTTCTCAAAAATAAATAAACATTAATTTTTTTTTAAGTTCTAAATGCTTCTACTGAGCCATTACAGGGGAGGGCAGGAGGAGCCTGCACCAGTCTGTCTCTGGATGTGAGTGCGCCCTTGTTGATTTGAATAGACTGCCATGTCTCTCCACTCCTACCACTTTCATCTGGGGGCAGATACTGTGATGTCTCTGCCTGGTTCAAGGTGGACGAGTAGACCTGTAGTTGGCCAGGCGGCTGCTTCCACAATAGCCTCCTTGAACGCATCAGGTCAGTTACTCTCGGTATTCCCATCTCGGAGCATCAGCCACCTCTGAGTGTAGACTCTCTGATTTTGTATTTAGCAAGTCCCCTCCTTTCGTGTTTGCAACTTTGGTGTCTCTCCATCTTTCTGCTCTCAAGTGTTTTCTCACCTTCAGGAGTTCCTTGTAGTTGGTCCCCGAAGGATACGGTCTTACTTGGCAGTATAGCTGTGGATTCCTTTTCTTTTAACTTTTTGTTGTTGTTATTTCTATGGATTGGGGACAGGAGGGAGCGGCTACAGCTTCAGTAGTCTGCTGCCCTGATTCACCTTTCTCCACTACTTTTTTGTACCGTGAAATCATGCCATCTGCCTGTTCATTTGTCTTTACAGTCCGAAAACTCAATTTAGTTAGGAGCTGAGATAAATAGGTTAAGTCAGTGGTGTCTTGTTTGGCCTCAATAAAAATTGAGGGACAGAGATTATTTTCCCTTTTGAAATACAATCAGTTCATAGGGTTCATTGTGCCAGGATTATGAGTATCCTAGTATCTGTTCCTTTATGCCTCCCTTCTCTTTACCACTGATGAAATCTGTGAAACCTGTCATCTTTCTTTGTGATTTACAAGACAGACTTTTCGAGGGTATGTCAAGTGTTCCAAAGACAATGTTGTTAAGTATCAGATTTGGCAGATCAGATAGATAATGATGTGCCTGGGAAAGAATGGGCCATTGACGAGTCTCGCGTCAAAACTGATTGCCATATATGGGCAATTTTTCCCTTTCACCATTTCCCCGGCTGTGGTCTCCGTGAGGATTTCATGAACAAGGAGCAGTTTTGATTCCACATCGGGACTGTGCTCTGGTGCAACTGTGCCCTCTTGTTCTGCTTTTTACGGCAGGCTTTGCAACTGCTAACCTTGCCGCAGCTTCCCCAAAGGTGGGCTTTCGTGGTAATGGGCATGTAGGAAGTATACCGCCATTGAAAAATAATCCTTTTTTATTCCCGTTCAGAAAACAAATTCACTCAGCACTGCTGTTTCCATAAGATTGTTGAGTTTGCAAGATCTGTCTCTTACTTAGAAACACTTTTTGAGGAAACCTGTTTGGAATGTGATCATGGACCAATTCATTGTGAGGAGCAATTGAGTAGACAAAGGAAAGAAAGAACAACCCAAGCACTGAATCTGTTTGTTTTAGGAGAAAAGTTTCTAAAGTGCATTCCCTGGGAATTTCTGCCACTGAATGAAACTCATTTCTATTCCCTTTATAGTCCTCACATGTCACTCCTAGACCTTCTGGGAATGTCGACCCAACCAGAGTCTGACAGTGGCAGTTCTGTTTTGAAACAGTCCTTTTCTGCGTTTACAAAAGCCCGAGATTTTCCAGCAGGACATTACAGAGAGACAAAGTGCTACCCCATCATTTTAGGATTGGCTGGCTGCGGCTGATGTGCGTGGGCTGCGCATTGGCCCGGGGAGCCTGTGGACTGACAACCTGAAGATGAAGCTTAAAGATGTTTGTAAAGACAAATCTTTGTGGAATTTCCTGTGCCCGGGACCTAGTGTGTGTCAGTGTCATGCCTGTCTAAGAGAAAGCAGGTCAGAACACATCAAAGCAGATCTTTCCAGAATGTATGTAAAATTCATAATAAGGTAGAGTCAGGTTCAGCTTTCCTTCCAGAAAGAATAAATCAGTGAGCCTTAAATGTTTGATGGTATTAGTTCTGGTTCTGGCTCCAGCTAACTGTAAAGGGGCTGGGCTGTGTAATCCCTCTCTCCCCGGGGGATATGACAACGAGATACAGGTGATCACTGGTAGTGTCCGCCACGGTTGTTGTAAAGCGTGTTGTAGCATTTTCTGCCCGCTAGCCTGTTTTCCCTCCTAAGTGATTCGTAGTGGGCACACCTATGAGAAAATAGAATACTTGGTGGTCAAATTAAAATTATAGTCTTTAAAAACATAACATATAAACTTAGTATCCAAGTTCTAGAATAGTGGGAAAGAAGGAAGGGGCTCCCTTTTGCCTTTTCCTTCCGTCTAAGAGAATAAATGAGGGGAAGGAAAGGAGTCTGGCTTTTGCTTTGTGCCTCTTATGAACACCCCACCACACCCTTCCAGATATGGGCTGTTTTACAACTGCCAGTGTCCATGTTTCTCTTTCTTTTTTTTTTTTTTAAGTTGATTCAATTTTGAGAAAGAAAGAGAACAGGGGAGGGTCAGAGAGAGAGGGAGACAGAAAATCCCAAGCAGGCTCTGTGCTGACAGCACAGAGACCGACGCAGGGCTCGAACTCACAAACCAGTGAGATCATGACCTGCGCCGAAATCAGGAGTCAGACACTTAACCAACCGAGCCGCCCTAGTGTCCCCATTGGCCATGTTTTTTTCTGAAAGGCAGAACAGGGTCCCAAACTCTTGTCCGACCTGGCTGTAGTGACCAAGGGTTCTTCTCACCACACCGCGCTGTCCCTGACAGTCCCTGCTGGGGGTTTCCATGTGTATTTCCAACATATTTCTGAGGCCATCCCTTAAGAGTGAGTGACTTGGCACCATGAGCATTGCCAACTTGGATGCACCCTCCACTTTACAGACATACCTTGTGTTTAATATGCTGCCCCACCCCGGGACCTGGGTGATTTTAGAAAGCCAGCGTAAGCATTCTCAGAGAGCCCCACGGCTTCAGCCCTCCACGAATGCTTAGCCTTGAGCTTCTCTTGTTAATAGATGTTCCACTGCAGCCTCGGCAGGCATGGTCCCACGTGGAAATCTGACAGAATAGAAAGGAGATAAATTTTTTTAAACAGGTTTTGACTTCTGACCTTTTAAAAAGTTCAGTCCAGGAGACGTCTGTGTGAATTATTATGCTGGGTGGTATCATTTTTGATGTGCCCTGTGATGCAGAAGTGCTGGCCTTGGGAGATCCGTGCAAATAGATGGTACAGATGATGCCTTCCGTAAGAATAAGGACATGATATTAGCCCACTGGTTAGGAAAGGCCTTTGAAGGGTGGGGACACATGTAGGGATGAGATGTGAAGGAAGGGTCAAACTCAGCTCAAGGAGGGGAGGACATTTCTCTATGGCATGGATGGACAGGAAAACAACATGGACAGACAGTGACTTTATTCTGGAGAATCCAAAGTCCAGTCTGGAAGTAGTGCTGATGACAGGTAGAGGAAATGGTGGCAGATAGGACATCAAACTTGGGGACTGACCTCTCTTTGGGGGTTTAAATGACTCCCGTAAAGCCTGCAAACAGGGCATAGCTTCTTGGGAAGGGTCCATAGCTGTCTGTAGGTTTATATTCTGAGGCTTACACACCGAGACTACACCATCTACCACAGTTCATAGCTTCCCTGTTATTTATCAATCAGCATACTTATCAGACTTTTTTTTTTTTTTTTTTTTTTTGAGAAAGAACGTTCTGAGGCTGATCGAGATGTGATCCTGAGGTTTGGCTGGGTGGATCAGGGAACAAACCAGCCTTGGGAATCCGACAAGCCCAGGCTTGAACGCTGCATGAATTCCTCATGGACCGGGACCCTGGGCGAGTCCCCCAAGCTTTTTAAACTTCAGTCTTTTCATCTGTGAAATGGAAATACACTACCATTTTCCTTTGGGGCCTGGTGGCATCAAATACAATAATCTGTAAACAGGCATTCAGTTACATATTTGTACTTTTCCTTTACCCTCTTGTTTCCCACTTCAGATTATGGGTCCTGAGCCAACACACTAGCACCTCCTTTGTATTAAAATGCTCTTCTAATGCTTCTGTCAAAATGAAAGGATGCATAATGCACACATCCACTGTGCCCATCCACCGCCCACCGCCCACAGCTTCAGCCAGCAGGTTACTTATAGGGACCAGGCAGAAAAGTAGGGCAGAAGAATGGCTAGTTATTATACTGAGTAGTGGATTGTTGGGCTGGAGGTTTGGCCAGGTTAGGCTGGGAGTGTCTTCCAGGGAGGAAAGCTCAGACGAGGTGCCGCAGGATGGCGTGAAGACACCAGAGGGAAGGAAGGATGTGGGAAATAAGAGATCAGTTTCGTCGGCATCTAATTTTTGCCTAGGGATGATGGCTCTGTCCTCATACTTTACAGTGTCACCACTGTGAGGCTGCAGGTGCCCGAAGAAGGAGTTACATTTTAATTAGCCATAGGGTACCTGATTTCTGATGTATCAGTCCTTTCCTCCAGGCCTCATCGTTTCAGATTCTTTTCGCCCCTGTCCGCCATTTGCTACTCCTTTGATGTGTATCAGAAGGAAGGCACCAAGCAGCCTGGAAATCCCATTACCAGACCTCAAGATATTAATTGTCGGGTTCTCCCCCACGGTTACACAAGTGTTGAAAAAGTGGTTCTCTTTCAATCGTGTCTTGTCAAAACGCCAGGCACAGTTTGTTTTTGACATTTGCTGCTACTGTTAAGTAATAGTCTTGCTTCTGTCACAGCTAATGTTGACTTGAAGGCATTTGGAGGGCATTTCTCAACTCCAGCCTTAACAGTAAGACCTGCATCTTGACAGATTTTTTTTTTTTTTTTTGCTTGCCCAAGGCAACCTAACGTAAGGGTTGCAACGTTTGCTTTCCCAACCTCAAGAAAATTTCAAATGGCCGTGCACCGCTTAAAACTTCCGATGACTTGTGCACACACACTCGCGCCCAGACACAAACGCAGATGCACATGCGTGCAAGCTGGAGTTCTTGAAGTTTTGCCATCCTGGGAATGACATTTGAATCAATTAAAGAGTCTTCCCTTTTAAGACCCCACACATCCTGGCTGTTCTGCCTTGGTATACCTTTATCTTTGAGAATGGCATACTTAATTACAGATCTCTTTAAAATCAATAAGCAGTTTTATTGTTTCTATATTTGCAACGGAACAAGCCCTTGAGCACTGCCCAGCTAACAGCATACACTGCATGCCATCTGTCAGAGAGAATCTGGGCTCTTCACAAGCACCACTTTCTTCTGTTGCCATGCGCATTAGAAATTTGATTGATGCCCTTCTCCCCACTTCTGTGCGAAGCCATCTTTTGCCGTTCTCCCTGGATGTCTTTTAGACAAACGTGTAGAGACCTTCTAGTGGTATCGTAATTTCTGAAACGTGTCCCTTAATTTGTGAAGTACTAGAGGGGAGGCTGAGAAAAAAAGACGGAGCAGAGCACATGAGAACTGTACGAAAATTCTGCGGAACTGCGTGGGAGTTGGCATCAATTATATGTGAAGAGGCCAAGAAGTGCACACTTGGTTTCAAAGTAAATACCAAAGGAATGGCTAATTAGGCACTTCTGTTGTGCAGTTTCAGAAAAATAGAAGTATACCAATCATTAGCGTTTCCAATAACTAGGCAACTTGGGTTTGGAGCTTTGTGGAGCAGTAGACTGTAAACCCAATGGATAAGGACCTTTTAAGCCCCGTGGCACACTCTCCTTTGACTACTCCTGCGTCACAAAATTCATCTTCAATCCTCTTCTGGAGGAGAGTATGGGCTCGTTTGAAATCAGGATGCAATTATCACATAATGATTCACATGCATCACGTGGCCGCAGAACTGAATTCTAAGATGCATGGAGAAGAGTGGTGGAGGGGGACCCTAATATTCTTCCACGACAGCCCAATCTGGGCATTTTGCAAATACAGAAGCAAAACCCACGTTGCTCATATGATCGTCCCAAGTCACATAGCCTGTGAGTAGCAGAACAAGATGTTTCAGTAGCATTGAGAGGGTGGTAACATTTCAAATCATGAAAAAAATGTAGATTCGATTTCCTAACTATGGAAGATTTATGGCAGTGTTGACAACGGGTAGGAGGTGGACGTTCATGAGTTGTGGTTGTTTTTATTGTGAAGGGCAATTATTTGTGATCTTAAGTGACAGGTGGTAAATCGCACTGAGTATTAATTATATGCTTCCATATACCACCTTATTTAGTTACCCCATTAAAGCTATGCGGTCATATTATTACCTGTAGAGATATAAGATCAGTCCTTTGTATGTGAAGAAACAGGCTTACAGTCATTATCTGCCAACGTCACACATGTAGACCCCACAGCTTAGGATGGAGCTTAACCGACTGAGCCATGCAGGCGCCCCTAAGTCAGAATTGGGCTAAATATCCTCATAATAAAGAAATAGGATGTAATGCACTTCTTACCAGATACATTTTCATTTATGACTTAAACCTGAGCTTTCGGGCTACTCTGTTGTCTTCAATTTTAAAATTAAAGTTGGCATACTGAAAAAATTGTCAAGGTTGTTGGCATACCCACGAGAGAATAATGACAAAGCAGACCTGTTCATTTGCTAAATTTCCATTAGATCTGTGTACAAAAGAGCATCACAAGCATTATTTATGAACTTGGAACTGATTTTTGATATTACTCCCTATATTTTGACGTTCATGACCCTAATGAAGACAGGAAAAATATATGATTAGGCTCACTGTCAGATCAAGGACTCTAATGACTATAAATGTAAGAAGTTAATTATTTCCTCTCCCTCTGCCCCACCTTTAGCTCGGAGAAGGATAGTCCTACATACCACATTAAAGCAGTCCTTCCTGAGCATGCCTTGCTAACCAGGCCAATCAGGAAACTAAAACTGCAAGGTCATGGTGAGCAATGGGGTTGGCTGGGTGGAAATCCAGAGCTGACGGCTGTATCAGTTGGGACTTCGGGGATTATGCTTGACAGAATACTTGACCCAAAATGACCTAAGCAAGCAAGGTATTGACTCATGAAACTGGCTTAACATATAGTTGGGGTTCAGGTTTCCAAAACTGCCATCAGGATGTGGCTTCTATCTCTTTGCTCTACTGCTGTGTTGCCATTGGGCCTGGGCTTCACTGAGGCAGGATGGTGTTGGTGGTGACAGCCTTGTGTCCTCTCCCATTCACATCTCATCTCTCAGAAATCTCGGCCAGGGTCTCG